GCAGCTGCTACACTTTGCTTAATGGTAGAGCCAGCGCTAGGAGGAAAATGACCACCACACTGGGGAAATGCCATGATGACTACCTTCTCAGTGGTTTAGAATGTAAATTGGGAAAGTGGCTGAACATGATGAGCATCTGTTCTTAAATTCCTACCATTTCTGCCCTTGGAAAGTAGGTGGAACCTTTCCCTTTAAAACTGCATTGCTCCAGGCCAAACTGGGACTTGCCTGCCTGCCTTTGAGCTCATTCTCCCCTGTTGCAAGCACATTCTGTTGTCTTCTCACCCCTGCAAGTTAGAAAGGTGACCACAACCCACCATGTGCCTGGTGATCATTATGCCTTCAGGCACTGTTTTCAAGGCCTTTTGCGGTACCTTAACTGGACAGTTTTTGAGATTAGCCACTCAGAGCCCTTGCACATCAAATATTTCAATAAAATGGCAGACGTCATTTGCACAACATAGGAGCAACTAATGTGGACTCATTGGTTGACAATGTCATCAAGCAGAAGTCATTTGCATAACATAGGAGTACTGTAACTTATGTGGACTCATTGGTTGACAATGTCATCATGAAGGCTTGCTCGTGCTTACAAGGATTTCAAAGGATTAAACGTATCCATCTGGGATAGGCAACACCTTTTCAGTATTATGAAGCTGAATGAATGCCAAAGGCTTGCCTAGACCTTCCATAAAAGTGTGTCAGCAAGGAACAACACATTGTCAGTTAACTGCTACTGCTAGGAGTCCTCTGGCTGGAAACACCACTGCAGGCATCTGGATTTCAACTGGAAGCCTTTGCAGGAAACTGAACACCTATCATCCAGATGCAGCATTTGTTCCTTCCCTCTCTGTGCTGCTGGATGCCAAATAAGTACAGCTCTTACTGGGATTTCTGTTCACTCATTTCTAAAAAGGTAAAGGTTTCCCCTTGACAATTTTTGTCCAGTCGTGTTCAACTCTAGGGGGCAGTGCTCATCCCCATTTCCAAGCCGTAAAGCCAGCGTTTGTCCGAAGACAGTTTCCGTTGTCACGTGGCCAGCACAACTTAGATTTGGAATGCTGTTTACCTTCCCACCGAGATGGTCCCTATTTATCTACTCGCATTTACATGCTTTCGAACTGCTAGGTTGGCGAGGAGCTGGGACAAAGC